TATATCGAGCTTCTTTTTGTATCTAGCGTTATTCAAATGGTTCCAAACGGTTTCCTGTATAATCTATAGCTCTTGGAAATAGTGCTTACATGACAACGTTAGGTGGGACCCAACAGCTTCCATGGTTTTATCGACATTTTCGACAAGTGGCCTTCCAGTGCATGGTGCATCTTTGACATCGAAATTACCGGAACAGAATCGATGAAACCGTTTAAGCAAAACTGCGTATAATTTGCTGTTACAGTATCAGAGTATCAGGACCACAAGAACTATTCACATTTTCAGCTGCTTGACTGAAAATCAAAGAAACAATATAAAAATGCCAAGTATTATATTTTCTTTTTGCTAGTGTCCATCGACGATAAGTTAACCAATTAAAAATATCGTTTTAACGCCATCTACTGATCCGATCGCACTTATATAATGCTTGATAAAGATAACTAAATCTGTTTATAACTATTGTAAAAACTATGGATTTCTTTTTACACTACACCTAACACATGAAGTCTTATATATGGTATATATGTATATATAATATACTTTATAGGGTCTATGTTGTTTCCTACAAAGCAAAAATACTGATAAATCTTATATATTCTTTTTTATGCTTTTTCATGTAAATAGTATAAAAATGATGAAGTCAAATAACGTTACAGATCTATAGGTGTGATATGTGGTATACTACAAAGTGTTGATAATATATAAATTTAATTATAAATAAACTTGATATGAACTATGAAAGTAATTAAAGTGAATGTCTGCTAATTGTTATAATTTTGTTAGTGATAAAAATCTTAGTGGAAATAGTCAATATTATGACTTTTTTAATGAATGCTATTCTAAAGGATGAAAGGATGTATTTTTTTATGATGAGTAAAATATTTGCCACTTAATTTTGAAGAAAGTAATTTTTTATTAAGCATTTATAATTCGAATCAAGTACTTTTTGAATGACTTTTTAATTGATGTTATTAGAAACCATAAAACAAGCGAGCAATTAACAATTAAAATAATTTATGCGAAAACAATTTGAGTTAATAAAAAATAATTTTTAATTGAATGTTTGTTTACCTTTCTGCATCATAAAAAATATTTATAAGATTTTTAAATTGAATCCAATTATATTTTTACTGTAGAAAAATACATAAATTACTTTTCAGTAAAATATATAAATATATTTTATATATTTTTTTTAAGTATGTGTTTTTGAATTGATTATGGAAAAAAAATTTCATGGTGTTCAGGAACTTAAGTATCAGATGATTTAATTAAGTTTAATTAAGACTTACATCACTTCTCAACTTTGTAAAAGTTTTGGGTCAATGGTTTATGATCTTATCAAATATGAATAATTAAATACTAAAAATAGAAATATGAAAATAATCTAACCATAACATTCAATGAATAATGAATTACACAATATTAACTACAATTATCAGTAGTTTAATCTATGCATTATCAGCGGCGAATTATTTTTTTACGATATAGTAAAAAGTCATAATTACTGCTAATAATTTCATAATATTTTTACCCAATAAGGATACTAATGAAAATTTTTTATATTTTCAGTTTTAGAAAAGGAGCAAGAATAACTTTTTAAGCATAAAAAATAAATAAAATAATCGAGACACACTGGCAGGGTCCGTAGCCATAATTTGACTTGGGTGGGTTGTAAGGTTGGTTGGGTATTGACTATATATTTTTTATCATTCAAATTTGTTATGATATCTTAATAAGAAATTGGCATATGTATACAAATAGTTCTTTAATTAGCTTCGAGAAGAGATGTATTTTCACTCGCCTTTTGGCTACATGTCTATCTTAGGCATAGAATTTGTTACTCAATTTACGACAACAATCAGCAAAAATGTCGTTATATAACATTCTCGCTTAACACATTCTCCTTACCAACTATCACTCTCGACGGCATAGTAATTCCGCAAAGATAAACAGTGACGTGCCTTGGTATTCACTTTGACAAACGCTAAACTTGGCGAAAACATATTGAAACTAAAAGGACTCAAATGAAGCTGAAGGTTATAAGCCTTCACTAACTAATTGAGCATTAGTCTCCTTTGTGTTCAGAGTACAAAGTCTCGTTATACAACCAAGTCATTAAGTCAATCAGAATGTATGGCTTATAGCTATATAGCTCTGCTTATTCGTCAAACGTAGAGAAATCTGCAGAGTCAAGCAAAGATTCTAAGAATGATAACTTGTGCACCCTGGTATATCAGAAATGAAAACATACATTTCAATTTGAGAGTTCCGATGGTTAAAAGTTTGAGAGAATAAGGCAGAAACATATTTCAAATCTTGAAAACCAAGTGAATCCGCTGGTAACCTCTTGCTAATTTGACTAACTCCTCTAGACTGAAACAGAATGATAGACCCGCAATGCTGCTTTCCTAAAGATCACTCCGATTATACGCCGTGATATCAGGCGTATAAGCCTTGGCTTCTTATACAGAGGCCTCTTAAAATAATTAACAAATCGTTATATATTTCATTATAGTTTGTTTATATAAAATAATTTGTAACGTAATGTTATTAGTCCTTAAGATTCTAAAACTAATTGTTAATTGTAATTTAAAGCGATTCAATAAAGACATAATATTAAATAAAATATAAACAATTTAAAAAAAATTTGTTATTGTAATTCATTACTGTTTAAAAAATATTTATAAAATTTTGTAAAAAATAGAGTCATGTTACTGTTGAATTTCAATAGCTAAAATTTGTCAATAAAATTAATTAAAAAAAATGCTATTAATTTGTAAGTACATTTCTAGTATAGCTGTGGTTTATGCATTTGTTCTAATTATAGCACAATAAGTGACTTAGTTTTTTATGATTACATAATGAATACCTGGCTTATATAGGAACAAATAAATAACGATAATATAATTATTAAAAGACCGCTGATGATAGATATTAGGCGATATCTGAAATAGCTGTATATTTGATTTAAAAGTTATTATTTTTTAATATTTTTAAAACAATATTGTACGGTAGTGTGGCTTGAAGGACTTTTATTTAAAGTAACGCACTAGTTTCCAAAAAATATTCATAAACTTCTAAAATCCTACGTGACTCACCGAAAATATAGGGTTAGACACAAATCTTTTACTTCGCAAGAGTATGATATCAACGCTGGAGTTCCTCAGGATAGCATCCTTAAGCCGCTTCTATACTTAATTTATACAACTGACATCCCACTATACCCAAACAATTTGCTGACAACGTTCGCTGACGACACTGCTATAGTTAGTACCGACCGTGACCGCACTATAGCATCACAAAATTGCGTTCAAGTAACTTTTACTCTAAGAAGAGAAACATGCCCTGCAGTTAAATTTAATAATAATGTGGATATCGCTGAATCACATTCTGTGAAATATCTGGGAACTCATCTAGATAGAAGGCTCACGTGGACAAGTCATATTGAAGCCAAAAAAAGTCAATTGAATCTTAAATATAAGGAATTGTACTGGGTTCTAAATTGCAACTCTAAACTCAGTCTCGATAACTAATTGTTAATTTACAAATCAATATTAAAGCTAATTCGGACTTATGGTATACAACTTTGGTGTTCAGCGTGTAACACAAATATATAAAAAATCCAGAGAGTACAAAATAAAATTCAAAGATCTAAATTCACCAACTGTTGAAGAAGTTATTCGCCAATATATACCTAAATTTCGAGGTAGACTCAAGTCGCATCCAAATCCTCATGTTCGACAGTTATCTTCTGCAACTGCACCATATCGCCTTAAAAGAAAATCCTTGATAAATATGAATACCTAGCTCAATAGCATTCATGTTAGTTTTTAAGATTGGCAAAATTATTGTCAATTTCTATTTAGAAAGATTCAATAAAGAAATTGATGAAAGAAAAAAAAATTTTTTTTCAATTTTAAATAACTGCAATAATATACTGCCCTTACTTTTTTGAAAAAAATTTCTTGGCACAAAAAATTATAATTAAATTAAACTAATTAATAACTCAACAAGTATCAATCTTTGTTCAATTACTTAGTATAGTTTTTTTAATACATAATTATATTTTTAAATAAAATTCAGTAATACTTTGTAATTTTCGTTTATTACAATATAAGTCCATGACTGTTTTAATACTATTACGGGATTATGCCAGAGATATAGATTTATTGAACTGCTAAAATCTACTTACGGAACCAATCATGTAAAATAACCAATCTCGTTAAATCAAAGATGTTAATAAACTATAATCATTTCTATGATCTTATAATGATCTAAATAAAAATGTTTAGAATACCAAATATATAAATTAAATGTATTATTTTGATTATACCAAACTTAAGTGCGTAGCTTAAAATAGAATTTTAAAACAATTAAGTAATTCTTAGAAAATTTGATATTAGTATTAATAATTTAATTTAATACAATTATTAGAGCAATTTTGTATACAAAAAAATTTCTATCGAAGTGATAATAATTATCAACAAGTTTTGCCAATACTCGTATAAATAAATTTTTATTGCCGAACATTTCTCTCGATAATTTATTAACATCAACTTAAAAATTAATTAAGAAACCGCCATTTAATGGTGCAATAAAAATATCCAGTTATGATATACATTTTATGCAAATAGTGCATATATTAGCAGCGTAAATGATGTTGACAGTAATACCTGAAAATTGTATTATAACCGACATATGTATAACTAATGGAGTGGATAAATATTAATCTCGGCAGGTTTCCTAAATTGTATTTAAATAAATTTTATACACAAAATAAAAATCAATGATTAAATTAATCAAATAAGTAACTGTTTAAATTTAAAATTATTTATTAGTTTTTTTTTTTATATAAAATGTTTATTGTTTTATTGTAAATATTTTATATTTACACACCTAAATTACTTGTTTTGGTATCGCTTTGGATTAGTAAATCAAATAATTAACTTTTTAAATTTAAAATTATTTATTAGTTTTTTTTTATAAAAAGTTTATTGCTTTACTGTAAATATTTTATATTTACAAGTCTAAATTACTTGTTTTGGTATCGCTTTGGATTAGTAAACAGGTATAATAAAAAATATTTAATATTTAATTATTTGCAGAGATTCTTTACAGAGTATTTAATGAGTTTATTGTTGTATTAATGATAGACCGATCACACATACTCTTTGGAAAATATTTTCCAGACTTGCCTATAGTTGCGAGATTACGTGGGATCATCTTTGATGACGATACAAATAAACATATTTATATAAATTTGTTAAAATAAATTGTACGTTCACAAAAAAACATTTTACAACATTTAAAATTAGTAAGGCACTTCTTAAAACAAAATGCACATGGCAAGGTTAAAATCACAGTAAACGACAAGTGAACAAAAAACTAATTAATAAATTATTTATAATTCCTCATGTGTTTTGGCGATATCTATGCTGCTTTTCACTTCCTCTCCATCTCTCCAAGCAGCATTCGTATTATGCATATCACTACTAAAATTCAATTCTAATTCACGATCACTTTTGAGTTGTGCCGTATTTGTGTTTGTGAGTTGTGCTGAAGGTTGTGAAGTTAATTCTGAGTCCTCAGTATCTGATATATAGCCCATATCTCCAGTATAATGAGTAGGAAACAAAATTAATGGTGCCGCGCTAAGAGCAATCACATTTCTTTCTGGAAATGCAGCACTCCAAGTTTTATTTGGATGGCGATTAAACATCAAAGGTAGGTATTCATCGACTGGTATTAACTTTTGAAGTGGTTTTGCATTGAGTAGTTTGAGAGCGCCTTCATAGGACAAAACATAGCCTAATGTCCAGTACGAATAACCAGCATGTACTAAGTAGTCAGTGTCTTGAACCCATGGCTCATTTTCATCCTTAAGCCGTTTACGACCAAAGTAACTAAAACAGAATATTATATTTAAAAAATATATTTCGATATTTAAGCGTAATATATATGATGATATTTTAAAAAAGACAAATACACGACTGTTTTTTATAATATAAAATAAAGCATTGCAAAATAAAACATAGCACATAGTGGAGCTCTAGATACTTCAAGAATAAAATAAATGTAAATGTGCTAATTAGCACAAATTTACAAAAAAAAAAAACAATATTAAAAATAAAATAAAAAACAGTCTTTGGCATTTGGATTATATTACTTATCATTAAACTATTGCTATTAAGGAGTATTTTACAACTCTTAAAGTGAAGAATTACGTCTGATATTAAAGTACTTACATTAGATCATATTCGACCACACTTCTGGCTTCATTTAAAACACGTACCGCACGTTCTTGAAAATATGGTTCGAAACGTATATCATCTTCCAATATCAATACTTCTTTCAGTTTGTTTTCTACTATTTTTTCCCAAATACGATAATGACTCAAAAAGCAACCGATTTCACCCATTGTCATTTGACGATGATGATATGGATCCTTATTGAATGAATATATTAACGTTCCATTTAATTATGTTTTATTTATTTATTACCTCATATCCTGGTAAAAATTTAATGCCCATTTCATTAATAATATCCAAATTAAGTTCCCTATAAATCATTTTAAAAAAATTATATAATTTTTCAATTTTTTTATGGTGAACATTCTAGCTTGCAAACTTACTTCCCATCAACTGCAGGAAAATGTTCAACATCTAGATTTAATATAGCGAATAGTTTTTCCATTTTTAAGCGGCGCTCGGGTCGTCGATTTAAGTTAATCATATAAATATGATCTAAAGTTAGTTTATGTCTTGGAAAAATAATTTAATGAAATAATAATAAAAATAAAAAGTATAGAGTATTGCTTACTTCTCGCTTTTTGGCTTAAACTTTTCTAAATAATCAAGAACGTCGACAACTTTTCCAAGATCATTTACAATATTTGTTTGAATATTGGTCAATTGAAGCAAGTCTTGTGTCAAATTATCGTTAGCTTCTAATGGTTGTAAAATATATCCATAAAGATATTGATTATCTAAGTACAAAGGAATTTGTGAACAATTTGCAGATATTGCAAATATGATGATATCATCCAAAGGTCCATCATACAAACGACAGTGATTATTATTTTCTTTAGCCCACTCAATATTATTTTGCTGAATTTCTCTTAAACGTTCCTTCTCAAAAGTTAAGTAATAAGAACCCATATAGTTCAAATCCACTAATACTGCGCTATGAATCATTGGTACCCGGTAAGTTCCGACTTTTTTAATATTATATATTTCTTTATATTCATCCGTGCGCTCGTAATAGTAGTCTGCTGTCATCCCGCACCAAAAATTTGAATACAAGCTTTCGGACAAAAGCAATGGTGCTACAATTGGTAATCTTAAATTTGTGAGATGTTTTAATGTATCGGGAAGCGTTAACAGTACGTCCACATCCAGAAACTAAAAAGAAAAAAGATTTTAATATTTTATAAGTAATTGGTTGAGAGAAATACTTACGAATATATAATCGGCCCAAATTTTGTGACCATATGCTAGAGCAGATTCTTTTAATTTTATTACATGTTCGAAACGATCCAAAGTCCATTCGAAAGGCGAACTAGCATTGTTGTAATCACTTATGCTATCATCAATTTCCAAGTCCACACTATGATAAAGGTTAGTAGTTTGGTTAAGCCACAATTGTAATATTTCAGCACTAGCATCATTGTTATGGTCACTCCGTATCCTTTAATGTAATACTATTTATACTGTTCGGTACATAATTTACTTAGAGTGCTTACCATAAGGCCATTCGATTTTTTGGATAATTCAAGCGTTCAAAATATGTCAAAAAAAGTGGTAATACGTGTGCCTTATTTCGAACCATTAGTGCAACCAGCACTGTTGGCGGTTGCTCTACAAGATCCTCGGGAAGCGCACTATATATATCATCATTTGCACTTACAGATATATTTGGAAGTTGATAGATGCATAATATACTTAGACATATAATTAAATTAAATAATCCTAACATTTTATCTTAATCTCAATTAAGCGTTAAATTAATATAATTTAGCACAAGCAAATAGCTGCGATACAGCCAACACGTCGTCACCGGAAGCACTGATTTTCAAATATGTTTCGGCTCTTGTACTTATAAAAATTAGAAGCAATAAAAATATCTACAAGTTTTTCAAGTTTTTATTCTCTGCTTAGCATTTTCTTATCAAAAAACAATAAGAGCAATGGGTTGACCCTTTGCATTTAAAATAATTACAAATAATACGAGACTGTTGAACACATATTTGATAAGCTGTTCAATTGACACAAATCTACGCACAACATAAACTTTGTGAATGCATCAACAGCACTAATTTTTTTTTTTGCAGAATCCCACATTTAAACAAAATGCATTTAAATTTGTTCCTAAATAAATTTTACTCTAAAACACTTAGCTAATGAACACTGAATCAGCTGATCAAACTATTTAAAGATTTTAAAACTGTTATTTGCTATGATATTAAAACTGTTTGTTGACAAAAGTGCGGGTTTTAGAAGTGCCTGCGAAAAACGGTTTCTTTCGGTTTAAGTTAATTGCCGACAAAATCAATAATAAACTAAATAAAAATTAAATATCACATTTTTAAGATAGGAAATTTAAGATTTTATATGCAAAATATAAAAAAAATAAAATTTGTAATAATATTTTTTGTGATTAAATTTTTTGAATGAACAGTTAATAATTGAAATCATGACTAGTTTACAATCACATATGATATTATTGTAATTAATTGATAATTCTCTTCTCATATACTCTGTGCTTGCATACATACATATATAAATAAATTATAACTTTCAATTGTGTTTAACATCATTGCAAGCGATTTATTTGTACTTGTGTTTTGTACCGTCAACCGATAACAAGTTTAGCATGAATTAAAGTTTAAGTTTAATTTTAACAATCTTTAAACATTTGTATTTGTACAAAAATATGAATAAATTAAAGAAAACCAAGTTTTAAATTAAATATTAAAACAAAATCATCACAAAGTATGCGGCTTCGCATAACTTGGAAATGTCAAATTTAAACCTTCTTTTGCCTCAAAGAATGTGTATGATAAAGTTATTGTGTCTACAAATTCCATTTTGGGATCCTTTGTGAATTCAGGATCTATATAAAAAAACACTGGCATGTCAACCTATAAAGTAAAAGTTATAAACAATCATTACAGTTGGTATTTAAATCTATGTAACCTCTTCGTGTGGATTTAATTGTTGCTCCTCAAAGCAGAAACACTGTATTTTATTAAAATAGGCACCAGCCTCAAATGGTATTACATTGTACGTGCTTATTCCAGTTACTGGTTGGTCTGTAGGATTTTTAGCGCTATAAAACACTAAAGCTGTTTCGCCGGGCGCAACTTTGATTTCGTATTGCTGAGGTTTGAAATTCCAACGCATTGATGCGGCTATATCTGCATTGAATCTTACTTTTAAAATTCTGTCGTTTATTTTTTGCATATGCTCTACTTTGTCTGCATCATGTCCTTGTGATGTTATACCACCATAGCTGTATGCCTACATAAATATTTCCATTAAAAATTTGCGTTTTAATTAATAGTTTAACATAAACATTTTTACCTGACAAAACATTCTGTAAAGAGGCACAGCTGCGTAACTTAAACCTGCTACAAGAACTCCGCCTGCCGTCACATAGTATAACGTGGAACGAAGTTTCTTTTGTCGTGCGGCGCTCTCTGTATTGTGTGAATTTCGACCGTTGAAATTGGAAAAAGACCGGTGGATGAAATGTTGCGTGTTTAATTTATTATTTTGTGTTAAAATTTTGTGCATGCATCGAAACATTTTTAGTCACCAATTTTTTTTTAAATACCAATTAATTCATTAAAAATAGATATAATACATTAGCTTCAAACTGAAGGTACTTGACCATATTTGTTACACAAACATTGTTTCCAAAGTAGCGAATCAGCTGTTTCATTTGTATCAGCTGGTGAAACAATTTGAAACTGATTGGTTATTGGGTATGTTCACTGTATTACAAAATTTATGCTTGAAATGGTTGCTTAGGAACTCTCTATAACTAAAATTGTTTTTTATTTTTATAAACATAGTAAACATAGTTCATTGTATATTTCTTTCAATTTAAGACAAAAAACATAAATGAAGTTATAAATAAAAATAAATTAGTTGTTTTGCTTTTCCTTGTTCAAAATTAAAGTCCTTTTGAGTTTGTTTTTGATATGCTTGGGGACCCACTAGCAGAATTACTGAGTGACAATAGTCTGGAAAATGAGCAATTCTTTGAAAGTCAAACAAATGTTACAAAGAATATAAGAAAACCAGCTAATAAGGTAATGGATGATCTGCTTGGAACAAAAGAAGAACTCTTTCAACTTACACCTAAGTCATCAAGTGGTATAATCTCAAGCTCTGCCAAAAAATCTGCTTCTGAAAAGACTTTAGTAGGAATGGACGCTGCAGATGATGATTTGGGTTTTGATCCTAGAAAACCTAAAGCTGTTGGTAAGAGTAATATATTGGATGAATTATTAAATGTAACAGAAAGTAAACGTCCCAATTCTGCGTTAACGAGGCCACCAGTGTCAAGACAATCAACCGACACAACGACAGATAACTCAAATCTTTGGCAGTTTCAAGCACGTCCAAAAACATCTGGAGGTCGATATAGTTCAGGCACGTCAAATCAACAAAATTCAAATTTATTAAATCTTTTCAATAACGAATCCAAAGAAAAAGATTCTAATGTAACAAGAAGGAAAGTAGGCACAGTGGACTGGTTGGGAATCAACACGGATGCAGAGGAAACAACGAATAAACGTGTAGAGACTGCAGAGCGTCCTGTAAAATCAGCTAAACAGCAACAGAGTGAATTTACAAATTTTTTGAAGGTGGTGGAAACCGATGCAGAACCTGAACCACATACACATAATACTGACAACGAAAGTAAAGCACCAGAGGAGTTCATAGCCGATGCGTCAGCTATTAATATATTTCAAGCTGTGAACTTAGAAACGAAGAAGTCTCTTACTGCATTGCAGCAGCAGGAGTCACAGTTGTCATTAGCAGCTCAAATAAAAAATCAAGAAACGGTTTTAACGGATATGCAACGTAAGCAAGAGACTCTGTTACAGCAACAACAACAACAATTTCAGCAATTATTGACTCAACAAGTAGAACGTCAACAGTATATGGAGGAACACATAAGAAAACAGCAAAAACGCATTAATGCACAGATCGAACTGATGATGGCATTGCCTAATAAAGAATCTTCCAAACTATATAATAATGATGAAAAAGATTTTGGCGATTCTTCTGGTAATAAGGTATCTGCAGAAAATGTGCGCGATGACACGACAAAATTTGATGTGGTGCAATTAGAGTCAGAAATGAAACGCTTAAGTTTGGAAAAATTGCGTTTGGAAGAATTGGTGGAGGTGATCAAAAGTAATAACGACAAAGAATTAGAAATAACGGAACAGTCCTATAAGTATTAAAAATTGTGTTCTTTATTGAATTTATTCTCATATTAACTTTTTAGGAAACAATTAAGTGTTTTGGAAGATCATCTTGCTGTGGTGGAATCCCGGTTCGAGAGTGATATAAATTTACAAGAAACTTATTATAAAAACAAGATCGAGCGGTTGAAAGAAGAAAAAGAGACTTTAAGATCCGAATATGAAGTAACTATTGCTTCTTTAAAACAACAACACGAAGACACAATAAAAAAGTTGAGAACGCTTCATGAAGGCGATATAGACTTGTTGAAGGATGAGCATCGGAGGATGGTAGAATCTATAAGAGAAGCCAAAATGCTTGAGTTTTCAACTATACATGAAAGCAACAACTATTTAGACACGTTAAAGGTGGCTTCGAACAAATTAGATAATGTGAGTGGTGGCTTAGTGGGCTTGCGTGACGACCTTCATAAGAAAATTGAAGTACTACAGTTGGAAAAGGAAAAACATTTAGAATTGCGGGAAAATAAATTGAACGATGCAGAGAGACGTTTGAAAATTATTGAAGAAGCTGCGGATGCAGATAAACAAAGGCTGATGGATCTAGTCAGTACACTTGAAATGCAATTATCAAAGATTTCGAAGGAGTCATCCGAAGAAAATTGGCAATTAAGACAGAAATTGTCTGCAATAGATGCTGAGAAAATTGCATTCGAACATGAAAAAGAATTTTTCCGGGAGCAAATGATAAGGGATGAAAAAAGAATCAACGAATTGAAAGATTTCCAAATTGCTGAAGCGCAAAAAATAGCTGTTGGCCTACAAGAGGAGCGTTCGCGTTTGCAGATTGAACGTACAAAAATAGAAACAGAAAAAAAGCTACAGTTACCCAATGATTTTGAAAACCATCGCTTAGAACTGGATTCTTCAATGCAAGTAGCCGCAGATGCCATCAAACAAGCTGATGCCGAGCGAGAACGTTTCCACAAAATGCAAAAGCAGTTGGAACACCAGAGGAGAACTTTGATACAGAAAGAAAACGAATTGCGCGAACGGGAAGAACAATTGGAGCAAGAGTTGAGTGCTTATTGTATAGCGGAGAGAAAGTCTCAAGAAGCTCTACAGAAAGCACGTTTAACCGAACAAACTTTTCAAAAACGACTCCAAGATTTGCAGCAGCGTTTAGTTGAAGTTAGTGAAAAAGAAGCGAACCTAAGTCAAGAACGTTTACTAATGTCCCAAGAACGCATTTCTCTGCAATCGATGAAACAAAAAATGCTCTCATATAATTGTCCTCTTTGTAAAATAAATGAAACCAATGAAATAAATCAATTCCTACCTCTGACGACTGACAATAATCAAAGCAGCACACGCGATGAAGTTCCCACTGACACGGATTTGCCGAATTTCAGTGCTCTTTTGGAAAGCCAAAGCAACATTGTGGACCGCATTTTAGACGAAAATATAGCAAACTCATTGCGAAAAATGAGAAATTTCACAGGAAGCAACTTGGATTTTTGGACACAATCCGTTTTAGATGATGACACTAAAAACTTAGCTTTACAGAATATTGATGCTACCTCAGTCACATCTAAAGACGAAAGTAAAGTGTAATATTAGAACGTTTTTACAAATATTACTAATACAAGTGACTCACTAGTGAATTTCATCCTCAAGCAAATATTTCATCTAAAATGTATTGAAATTAATCTTTTTATAATTAAAAATTACTTAGTTCTTTTAGAAACAATTTGTACTTTGTTTTTTTTTAACAATAGTTTTTAAAATTCTTACTATACCTACAAGCATATACTATGATGATTAATAAGCATCTGTAGCTTGAATTATATTTTGAAAAGTCGACAACCTCTAATGATCTTGACAAATAACAACATGGCGGCTAGTACGCCATGTATATCGTTTGCTTGATTGTCAGAAGTCATGAATCAATTCATTTCCTGGTTAACTGTAGCACATTTAAGTTTAAAGTCTTGTTGATCTAAAGTTAAAATATTATTTAAGATTCCTTGGTAATATATTGTATGTATTCAATAAATTGTAGGTCGTTGGTATACGTTCTGATTCCTTTTGTAAGTCCAATTATTGTTTTTACACCTTTTCGTTTACAAACTTCCTTACCAATTTGTTGCTTGTGTAGAATGTTCTATTAGATCTGGTTTGTAGGGTTTGGGAACCTCTGAAGTTTATTGATGCTAATTCCCGCTAGCTCCTTAAGGTTATTTAAAAGTGATTTAGCTAAAGTTATTGCTCTCTGACTCCAAAAGTCAAAACATATGCAAAAAGAAAAATTAAAAAATAGTTTCCTCGCTACAGCTGGGACAGTGAAAAGTATCTGGAACTCTCTTTCAGCCGCGTACTCTAATAGATTAAAGTTCCCTTCTTGTTTTGTGTATCAATGGCAATGTTTACTTGAGATGTGCAGTAGTGTCCTATTAGTCTTATATGTCTTACAACGTATATAAGAATGCTCCATGCCACTATTTAGAGGTATTTAAAAAAATTTGTTAAAAATTTATTGCCTGCTTAACAGTGGTGTCAACACAACCTCTGCATAAATTTCTTGTACGGCGGGCTCCATTCTCGCTAGTTAAATCTAGATAACACTAACTTTCTGATATTTTAAATTTGACTTAAGTGCTCATGTGATTAATTTAAGATTCTTGATTTTTGTGAACTGGCCCGGGATTTCAATCAAATGAGATTGTTGCAACATTATCGTACTATTTTCGGCACATTTTCGAGTCTTGTAGTTTAATACGTTAAGCGGTTCTAGAACAATAAATTTGGTATACCTAAAGATATTGCTTAATTCCTATAGCACTTCCTCGATGCCTTAAAATAATCTAGTATAAAAACAATCTTCAGTATATTTGTTTATATTTGTTATTGTGTAGAAGGACTAATATATGTTGGTAGTAACATAAATCGAAGACTTCAAATTAATTAACTGACGTAACAGATAGTGGCCATATTTCTAAATCGTTAATAATTTCGAAAAAATTGGATTTGGAAACTTAAAACTTATCAGTGTGGGCCTATCAAAAATGTTGTACTGCATCAAATCCAGTTTTCGAATATATAAAGAAAACAATCAACTACAACCTTTATACCTACTACAAATCATCAACGAGTAAGACAGTGTTCTATAGCTTTTTCTAGTAGCATATCGCGTATGTTAAATTAAATATATGAAGTTTGCTATACACAGATAAGTCTAAACTGGATACTACCACTACATCTGCGGGTATATTCCATTCCGAATCTCTAATCTCGTGAGGTTAGCGCATCTTTTTTCACGGCAGAAGCCGGTGTTATCAAAGTCGCCTTTAAAATTATAATTAATTATCGGTCAAAGGCTTCGCTCTTGACCCACTTTAGAAGCTTAGATTGATTTGAATCCCCGGATACAAATGCATGGTTGGTTGGTTACAGTGACAGGTCATCGGATAACTTTCTATGTACTCCAATTATTGATTTCTCGACGTTCTGCTACCACATTCCTCTCAAGAACCTCTGAGATAAAAGAATATAGATTAAACTTATTCCATCGAATTTAAATAATTTAATATGTCTTTCGTTTTTACAGAGGAATAGTCTAATAACCTGTTAAAGAAATACCTTCCTAAAAACATATTTCTTCTGGACGCATACACATAGAAAGAGTTTAATGTCTTCTTTTTGATGCAGGTTTTCACAACTTCTGCATTGAGCATTATGGGAAATACACAGTTTTTCTGCGAAGGATCCTATGCACCAATGACCGGAAACAACTGCAGTAAGCCTTGTAGTGTTCACACGATTTCTTTTGTTGAGTTCACAAGGTCTATTTTTATTATAGGTGGTCCATGTTAACCGGGAAGTTGCACATGAGTTAAGTGTCTTCCATTTGTTATTGGTAAGCTAAAGAAAGTAAAGGTAGGTACTTCTTTTATTAGTATATACGGTAATATAAGCCGGTACTGATAGGTACGCTCTCAAGAAAGCACTAGGGCGGGTTGAACTGCTAGCTCGTTCCCTTTGAATATTCTATGTCCAGGGAACGTAGAGACACACATAAGAATGCGTACCATCCTTGCATTAGCTTTCTAAATTCTGAAAGTGCACCACTCAAGAATTCTCCGGCTTCTGCAGTGATCACATATCACCTCTTCATATTCTTGATTTTTGCTGTATTTTCTCCAAACAAAGTTATTTTGGATTAATTATCTCTTCCCTTCAATAGGTCTGGGTCGACCTATTTCGGCCAACATCAAACCATTTACAAATTCGTAGTAAAAATTCGATGTCTGAATTTAATTTAAAACATTCTTTCCTCGAAATTCGAAATATTTAATCCATCTATGATCCAGCTTCATTATAAGTTCTTCAAAACAACGTTTATTATATCAGTTTACTTTGTTATCTTAAAATCATTTTTATCTTACCATTATTATATTATTATTATTATATCATTATATTATTGTTATTTTTATGTTATTAATATTACATTACATCATTATTATTATTACATTACAAGCGTGCTAAATAAATATTTAAGAATGGAGAGTTTTAAAAAATGTTGTATCTTAAGATAAGATTGCAATACGAAACGCTTTTAATTTTCAAAATACTCTCTCCTTTATTGGAGGGTGAATTCTAAGGACAACTTTAAAACTTGAAAGTCAACTGGACTAACTATGCCTTTCATTTGTCAGATCATCTACTTTCAGTCAATTTTTCTTCTGGCAAGGTTGATCACTACATCTAATAAGATCTTACTAATGTCAGAGTCTACTGATACTTATTTTGACTACTACTTAGCTCGTCTAAGATAGCAGTAAATTGATGCTAACTAAATCCAAATTTTTTATTATTAAATTATTATTATTGTATTATTATATATATATATTATTATTATAATATTATCATTTTATTATTAAATTGTTATTAATTTATTCCAACAGTTGAGGTTCTCTGCTGTCAGTAGTTTCTAATCGCATTCTAATCGCAGATTTTAGTATGTCTATGTTATAAATAAATAAATAATTAATTAAAAAACAATTAATATTAGAATTTTTTTCCGGAATTACTTAAATTTCTTGAATAATTTAAAATACCAGTAACGAAGTGCGTTCATTGTGTGATGAGGACATATTCAACGTTTAGCTTAATAACTTAAATAAATACTCGTAGTGATAAGAAATTCTACGCTGTTTTAAAACTAAACAAAAATAAGATTCTATGGCATTAAATATATCGACATATGTATTATTTATCCAATGGTGCATCTTTGATAGTTGAATTTATCGGAGCTTATTTATGCACCCCTAGCGGTCGCAGTCAACTTTTAGTTCAGCAAAACTTTCAGTTCGGTTCGGTTTGGGTAACTTAAAATTTCGCCTATAAATCATAAATTCAACCTGTTATGGAAGAGCTTAAACAACTTTTCGAATACTTTATCCCTTACACTTTACACATATCTGGTAAATGTAGTTAAACGAAGCAAACGGCTTATACCCGAGTATCTTCCCCTTTTTGTGCCATTGTTTTAGTTCAGCATAAATGAAAAGAGCGATTTAGCAAGCACAAGCATATTTTGCGTACCAAGGACTCACTTAATCTATGAGGCACATGTCCTTTGTAGCCGTCCTTTTGTGATAAGGTGACGCATTACTTTTGTTACTGTATAAAACTGAGTTAATCGAAAAAAGTTTTGATTGATTAGATTTATTCTGTAACATGCATCGAGAAATTGTTTTAATGTTTATATTAAAAATGCATTAGGACCGATGCGAAGGATGAGCAACTGATGAAATTCGTTAGCTGCTTTTGTCAATGAAATCTATGATACACGAATACAAGCTAAAATTGATGAAGATCGATCACCTTTTGTTTAGAATACTGACTGACAAAGGATAATTCTTTTTCTGTTTTTTATTTAATTAAATTTTCTGTTTGCAGTAGTTCCTTAGCAAAAGGCACTGTGTTCTGGGGTTTTGTTGTCAGATTCTTATATTAAATTTAAAATAAGAGAGAATATTTGATTTAGCTTTAATTGTTTGACAAACAATAAAAAATGCTTGTTTCAAAATCGCAAACAGCAACCGTTAAACAAATTGTCATAAAGGCGGCCTCCTCTTTAATCCCCGGAGTTGTAAGATGAAACAAAGTCAACAGAAGTGCATACACAAATTTGTAATTAAAATTTAATTCAAAAGAAATGCGACAAATTATTTCAAAATATTTTAAATGCAAACAAATCTTCCACTGTTAAGCAGCAGTTATACACAAATATTTACTGACTTTTAACCAAACATTTTGAATAAGATTTTAGCGCCTCTTTTTGAGAGAAACTACAACAATTGAAGCGGGAAGATTGTGCGGTTGCATCGCGGGCTTTGTTCAAAGTGTACGCAGTTCTGAGATAAGAAAGATTCCGTGATTTTCGGTGATTATATAAAGTGAAACGGAATATACTATTTAAATAGTATCAAAGAAGCTATTGTAATTAGTTAAGAAAGAGTATCTTATAAAGCATAGGAAATGCATACCATTTGTGGGTTTATTGGTTTATCTTCTTACAAAATAGATTAACAATTAAACAATATTAGTAAAACAAAAATATTTTAATATCTTTGGATAATTTGGATATAGTTGAACAAATATTACATTAGAAGTATATATCTTATTACTGAAGATACTTGTTAAGTTTCATATTAAATCTATTATCATTGTCAATTATTATAATTGTATTCTTATTAGTGCATTAATTATATGTGTACATAAGTACCTAAATTAGTTCTTATGTTGTTTTTGTTGTTGGTGTTTATTTGTGTTATCAAACATTTAGCAATGTTGCTGGCTCTCACAACTAAATATTCGCACGCTAGCAGCGTGCCAGACGTAACATGATCATCTTCACACGCCACTGTGCAAGGTTGATAAGCATTATGTTCATTTTCTTTATCGTGTGTTCGTTGTGAGTTGCAGCAATAGGCAAGCCGCTGCGACAATTCTGTTGTTCCCACAGGTGCAATATGAGTTGGCGCATGGCTTCAGTGATAACACATTTAAGTCACCAAATTTGTGAAGCAGGTTGATATATGGCAAAATACATATATCAGCTTGCTGATTGCATTAAATAAGTATAAGTAGGTAATGCACATATTTCCCACGAATGCCCTTGGCCTTGAATGTTCAAAGTCCATCGGATAACAAATCGTGGGAACTGGGTGCATTTCCTCCTTTACCATAAGCTTAGTGTTAAGAATTTTGTATAAAAGCACAACATTTTTAATAAACATTTGATTCAATTTAACAACCTGAATACAACCAAGTGTTTTCTTTTGGTTTAAGTGCCTAAAAGAACCTTGAGCAAAGTCGGTTTATGTGCCGAATTTGAAAATCAATAATAAACATAAAATAAATAAATAAATATCTATATATATATTTACATATATATCTAGATATCTATAAATTACGTAACTGGTTTATGTGCCGGATTACGTAAGTGAATTACTAAGCTGGTTAAAGTGCCGGATTAGTGAATCCGTATCAGACTAGATACGGAGGATAACATATCGTGAAAAGCTAAGCTGGTTCAAGTGCCGGATTAGCTTCAGTCCGTATCAAACTAGGTACGGATCATAACATTTTTGGTGACCCCGACGTGATTTATCACGCATCAGTGGACATACACGTGATATCACGCATCAGTATTGTCATTTGTGGACATACACGTGATCTATCACGCATCAGTATTGTCATTCACGCAGCAGTATTGTCATTTGTGGACATACACGCATCATTGTTGTCATTCAGTGGACATACACGTGATATCACGCATCAGTATTGTCATTTGTGGGCATACACGTGATCTATCACGCATCAGTATTGTCATTCACGCAGCAGTATTGTCATTTGTGGACATACACGCATCATTGTTGTCATTTGGTGACATACACGTATCAACATTTCAACAATCAATTTTCTGGTGACCATGGAGGACCTTATCAACCAACAGGCTGAAACAGGTGCTGAAATCCAGAACATCATAAGAAACTTCAAGAAGGATGGTCAGGCAAGGAAAACCCAGGCGTACTATGAAGAACGACTGAAGCGTTTAAACTCAGCGTGGGAGTCCTTCGATGAAGTCGACAGTAAAATTCAGAGTCTTGATTCAATTCCAGTCGGACACGACTACATAAAAAAGGAATATTATCAAGAGATCCTGAATATTTACAAACAGTACAGCCGACAATTTGAAACGGCCATTCAACAATTCAACCAAGAAGAAATAGTCGAGCCTGTAACTGTTCCATCAACATCAAGATTTAATGTTGGACACACAGATGATCCAGCGTGCGGCCCTGATCCACAGATTCAAGGGCTCATCAACAAACAACGCGCAATATCATGTTCATTATTGCGGCTCATCAATGGCGTCAAGCGCATATACGAGCAACAGCCTCTGTCATATTACCAAGTAAATATTGACAGAATTAACAAATTATGGCAAGAAATTGAAGCCGTTAATTTTAAAATCTGGGAAATACATTCCAATCCAATAGGAGTTGGATATGATATCCAGAAATATATTGAACTAGAAGAAGAAGTTCAAAATGTGCTGGTGTCACTAACATCAAAGGTGACATCAAATCAACAGCAACCGCCTCTCGTTGCGGAAAAGGTGCAAGTTAGGTTACCTAACATAACAATTCCGAAGTTTGACGGAACATATACCAAGTGGATGGAGTTCGACAACTTGTTCACAGAAATGATCCACAACACTCAGTTGCCAGACGCACAGAAGATGTGGTATTTAAAAAATCATTTAACTGGAGATGCAGCAGGATTAGTAGCACATCTAGCTCTAACCAATCAAAACTATGCAACAGCATGGCAGATATTGAAGGAACGGTATGACAATAAAAGAATTATCGTTTCGTCCATCATCCAGAAACTCATGAATCAAGCAACTGTGAAGGGTTCAGCAGCGAATGACATTCGGGTCATACATGACTGTACACTGGAAGGGTTATTGGCATTAAACAATTTGGGCATTGACACCAGTTCCTGGGGTCCAATGTTGTTATATGTATTAACTCAAAAATTGGATAAACAAACTAGACTGCTATATGAACAGTCTCTGGTGCATCCGCGCGAATTACAATCAATTGATGATTTTCTGCTATTTCTGGAAAAGCGATTTCAATCATTGGAAAGTGTCTATCCAAATCAACCAGCAGTCAAAGTAGTGACAGCAACAGTAACTACAAACAATACGCTATCTTGCAAGATGTGTCACCTCAATGGCCATCAAATTCACCAGTGTGACAAGTTCGTGGCATTATCAGTTCCTGATCGTGTCTCCGCAGCACAACGGTTGAAATTGTGTTTCAATTGTCTTCGCAGCGGACATAGAACAAGTGATTGCAAAAGCAGGCATTGCGTCAAATGCAATAAAGCGCACAACACGTTACTTCATCTGCAACACAATAAAAAAGGGGCAACAATTGGCTCACGTGAAAGCACCAATACCAAAGCTGCTGTATCAAAGAAAATCACTTCCTCCACACAAAAAGAAGCTACCACTGTTTTAACTACAGCTCTGTCAACAAGGCCATATGTGTTGCTTGGGACCGCTAAGGTCAATATTACTACAAATACTGGAGAAACAATTGAATGCAGGGCTATTCTGGATTCAGGCTCTCAAGTCAATTTAATAACCGAAAAGCTGGCCAAAAAACTACAACTAAGGCTAAATCCAAACCCAATATGGATCGAAGGAATTGGCTCAAGTAAGAGAGGGGCAAACTATCAAGTCACTGCCAACATTTCATCACGTACCACTAATTTCAATATAAAATTGAAAGCATTTGTGGTACCGAAAATCATTTCGCCTCAACCTAACAAATCATTTGACATATCTCAGTGGCCGATTCCCAAAAACATCAAACTCGCCGATTCCGAGTTTAATGTAAACAGTGATGTCGACTTATTGATAGGTGCCGAGTATTTCCATTCGCTGTTATCAGTAGGTCAGATTCGTATGACAGACAACTTACCAATATTGCAAAAAACCGTCTTCGGTTGGGTATGCAGCGGCATCTTCAGTGGATGTGATCAGGGCACAATGGCATGTACAATTGCCACTGAAAGTGAGCAAGGACTAGACAACCTACTCACAAAGTTTTGGCAATTAGATGAAGTTGCAAGTCATGACCGGCAACTTACAAATATCGAAAAAAAATGCGAAGCAGCATTCAATCAAAATACTCAACAAAACAACGAAGGACGGTTCATTGTAAAAATTCCGTTTACAGACGATGCATCTGCACTTGGTGAATCAAAACAAATGGCTCTAAATCGATTCTTGAAACTGGAACAGCGACTGAACAAGCAGCCTAGCTTACGAGCAGAATATGTCAGTTTTATGAGGGAATATGAGAAATTAGGCCATCTACAAGAAATTCAAGAGGACCAATTATTGTGTCCTAATTATTTTCTGCCCCATCATTGTGTGCTCAAATCTGATAGTACTACAACGAAGCTAAGAGTAGTTTTTGATGCGTCCGCAAAAACCTCTACGGGCATTTCGCTCAACGAAATCATGCATAAGGGGCCAGTAGTACAAAGTGAACTAGCAGCCATATTAATGCGATTCAGAATGCCGCGATTCGTATTTACGACAGATGTGGAAAAAATGTATCGACAGATACAAATTCACCCAGATGACAGACGATTTCAAAATATATGGTGGCGCGAACATCCTAACGAGAAATTGCGGTTGTTGCAGCTTAGTACAGTAACTTATGGTACTAGGGCCGCACCGTACCTAGCTACAAAATGTCTACAGACGCTGGCCATAAAAAACAAATCTAAGTATCCTCTCGGAGCAGCAGCACTCGAAACCGACTTCTATGTTGACGATGGTTTATGCGGAGCCAACACAATAACGGAAGCAGTTGAAATTAAAAATCAACTGATCAACATTCTCTCTACAGCCGGTTTCAAACTACGAAAGTGGTCAGCCAATCACAAACAGTTGCTTCATGGCATAGCACCAGAAGACCAAGAAGTGGATTTGAATCTTTTAGATGAAGAACATACATCAATTAAAACTCTGGGAATTATATGGCTGCCAAAGACTGATCAATTTCAAATCAAGGTGAATACGGCGACAGAGAACAAAATTACTAAGCGAATAATCTGTTCAGAACTAGCTCGAATTTTCGATCCTCTGGGGCTCGTCAACCCCGTAACGGTACAAGCAAAAATGTTCGTTCAACGGTTATGGCAGCTTCAGCTCGACTGGGACGAAACACTACCAGAAGAAATGCACAACAAATGGGACAGGTTTCGATCCAATCTGAAAGAACTTCAACGTATACAAATTCCACGTCATGTCAACAACCACAAGAATCCGAAAACAACACAGTTGCATATTTTTTGTGATGCTTCTCAAGGAGCATATGGTGTAGCAGTATATATAAGATCTTCATTTCCAGATGGAACAATCGGTGTGCAGCTACTGGCATCCAAATCCAGAGTTGCACCCTTAAAAACTCAATCCATTCCACGTTTGGAGTTATGCGCAGCGTTACTGGGTGCAACCTTTGCTACACGTGTTAAAACGGATCTTCATCTTGAGCAGAGCAAAATGTTTCTATGGAGTGACTCCGAAATCACACTTCATTGGATAAATTCCGAACCTTCAAAATACCAAGTGTTTGTGGCGAATCGCATAGCCAAAATACAGGAACTCACGTTGCCTGAACAGTGGCGACACGTTAGTTCAAAACTTAATCCAGCAGATATGCTATCTCGTGGTGTCGATCCACAAGATCTTGGCAAAAATCACATGTGGTTCCACGGACCGTTGTTTTTATATGGAACAGAAGCCAAGTGGCCATCACCCATTAAAAGAAATCTACAAATAGATGACGACCTGGAGGAAAGGTCCAAGGTGACATTAGTGGCTGCATCAACCCCTGATGATCTGATCAGTATGATTTATAAAATTAACCATCGAAATTCTTACAAAACATTAGTAAGAACCATGGCATTTGTTCTCCGTTTTGTAAAATGCAGTCGTCATAAAAAACGACCGAATAACACCAACCTGGAACCGAACGATTTAGATGAAGCGGTAGTTATCATCGTCAAAGCAGTGCAATTAAGCGAGTTTTCCGAAGAAATCAGCCATTTAACGAAAGGCAAATCATTAAAACCAAATAATAAGCTTCAGGGATTTGCACCATTTTTAGACAAAAACAACATCATAAGAGTAGGGGGACGGGTCTCAGAATCAAGTATACCATACAATCAGAAACATCCAATGATTTTGCCATACAATGACCCCGTGGCAAAACTTATTATGGAACACATACATCAAGAAAATCTCCATTGTGGGCCTCAAGCATTGCTGGCACAGACCAGGCAAAAATTCTGGCCAATCAAAGGAAAGTGCATGGCTAGAGCTGTTGTACAACAATGTGTCGTATGCAGACGAGCACAGCCTCAAATGTTAAAACAAATAATGGGTAACTTACCAAAGGATAGAGTTTCTCCAACCAGACCATTTTTCAATTCAGGAGTAGATTTCTTGGGACCAGTGTGGATCCATTACAAAATCCGCGGTAAAAAGCCATGCAAGGCATACATTGCAGTATTTTGCTGTTTTTCCACCAAAGCAGTTCATCTGGAGATCGTTAGTGATTTGACCACCAATGCATTTATATATGCTCTTCAAAGATTCATATCAAGGCGAGGCAGGTGTAAAAATATCTATTGCGACAATGCCACGAACTTTGTTGGAGCCTGTAAACAATTAGATGAACTCAAATCTTCAATATATAGTCTAACCGCTCAAAATCAAGTTACACGATTCTGTACTGATAAGGGAATGACATTTCATTTCATTCCACCACGTGCACCACACTTTGGTGGCATATGGGAAGCAGCTGTCAAATCAGCAAAGCATCATCTTAAACGATCCGTAAATACATTACACTTAACATATGAGGAATTGGAAACCGTTGTAATTCAAATCGAAGCAATACTCAATTCCAGGCCAATAACACCACAATCTTCAGATCCAAATGATCTAATCGCACTCACGCCAGGTCATTTTTTGATCGGCGAACCGTTAACAGCAATGCCAGAAACTTCCAGTGTATCATCACGTTCATTACCATCATGTTGGAAGGCAAGCGCACAAATTCAACAAAACTTTTGGTCAAGATGGTCCAACGAATATTTAAATGAGCTTCAGTACCGCAATAAATGGAAAACAGAAGCAGAAAATGTTAAACAGGGCACTATGGTTATCATAAAAGAAGATAACACACCCCCTATGGAATGGCCATTAGGGCGGATAGTGCGTACCTACCCAGGCATTGATGGCAAGGTTCGAGTGGTAGATGTCAAAACCAAGAACGGAATTTGGAAACGGCCAATACATCGATTGGCGCCATTACTAGCAGAGGCACATTCATCCACCGATGTACAAGCAGATCAAGTTGAAGACGCACCACGAAAACGCGCAAAATTCGACAACAATCAAAATCCGAAGTAGACGTAGAAGCACAGATTTGACCGAAGTCAACAGGAGGGAGAATGTTAAGTTTCATATTAAATCTATTATCATTGTCAATTATTATAATTGTATTCTTATTAGTGCATTAATTATATGTGTACATAAGTACCTAAATTAGTTCTTATGTTGTTTTTGTTGTTGGTGTTTATTTGTGTTATCAAACATTTAGCAATGTTGCTGGCTCTCACAACTAAATATTCGCACGCTAGCAGCGTGCCAGACGTAACATGATCATCTTCACACGCCACTGTGCAAGGTTGATAAGCATTATGTTCATTTTCTTTATCGTGTGTTCGTTGTGAGTTGCAGCAATAGGCAAGCCGCTGCGACAATTCTGTTGTTCCCACAGGTGCAATATGAGTTGGCGCATGGCTTCAGTGATAACACATTTAAGTTACCAAATTTGTGAAGCAGGTTAATATATGGCAAAATACATATATCAGCTTGCTGATTGCATTAAATAGTATAAGCATAGGTAATGCACATATTTCCCACGAATGCCCTTGGCCTTGAATGTTCAAAGTCCATCGGATAACAAATCGTGGGAACTGGGTGCATTTCCTCCTTTACCATAAGCTTAGTGTTAAGAATTTTGTATAAAAGCACAACATTTTTAATAAACATTTGATTCAATTTAACAACCTGAATACAACCAAGTGTTTTCTTTTGGTTTAAGTGCCTAAAAGAACCTTGAGCAAAGTCGGTTTATGTGCCGAATTTGAAAATCAATAATAAACATAAAATAAATAAATAAATATCTATATATATATTTACATATATATCTAGATATCTATAAATTACGTAACTGGTTTATGTGCCGGATTACGTAAGTGAATTACTAAGCTGGTTAAAGTGCCGGATTAGTGAATCCGTATCAGACTAGATACGGAGGATAACATATCGTGAAAAGCTAAGCTGGTTCAAGTGCCGGATTAGCTTAAGTCCGTATCAAACTAGGTACGGATCATAACAATACTAATAGTACATAACTCAGTTATAGTTAAGCCTAACTACAAAAACCAATATTTTTATCAATCATTAACTTTTTGTAACAATATAGGCTCTTTTGACAGTAATACAACCATTCGAAGGTCTCTCTAATATTTCCATGTTTTTCTTATAGTTAGTTTTAGACGTCAAGAATGAGTTATATTTGGGTATAATTTATTGTTTCGGTTCAATCTTTTTCATACAAACTGCGAGTAGGAACTATTTGCTGATGGCCATATTTGGGGACAGCTGGAATGAAGAAACAATTTGAAGTGAAAATAACACTATTGACCAAGGATATAATTGAACCCTCTTTCTCGCAATGTAACACCATTTTTCTGTAATTTTATTCTCCAACCATTAATGTGATATAGAACTATAAGCGCTTTTTTCTTTACCGAGGTAGGAGACAATAACAGGGACTGCGCCTGTTATTGTTCAGCATTTGCAAGAAATATTATAAATTGAGATCGTTGCTCTATAACAACGAATGAAATTCATTCTCTTTTATCGGATATTATTACATTCATAAAGAAAACTGAGCAAATCGAGTTACATCAGTCCAATCTGTTTTAGGTATATAATTTTTTTCAGGGTTTTCTGGTATATTGATTAACTCACTGAGTTTTATCTTGTTTTAACTAAATTAATAAAATTCTCCAATTTCGCGAACATCGTAATGTTTAAACACTTTGAAGTATTTTTTTGCTCATTATTGAAATACAAAATAACCCCAACATTTGGGTCTCCAGAGCATTTTGTGAAATTGATATCTATTAGGCCACATTTAAAAATACGAGTAGCAAAGTATTGACAAATAGTTAACTTCAAGAGAGCGATGTCGCATTAATACTCCTAAAATAATTATTGGATTAACATAGCTACTTCCATCAAAGTAGCCAATACATTATATTGTTTTTCTTTTATAATTCTGCAAATACTAAAAGTAGAAAAATTCAAACAGCTGCTCTTGAGTTGGGGAGGCAAGAACATTATTTTTAAACATATTTGCAGTTGCTATGGCCTAATAATTAGTCTCGGAACTGAGATATTAACTCATTCAGTAAAGATAGAATAATACATTGATGGGAAGTTTAGGGCGAAAGTGAAATATAAAGATGAATGCACTGGTAGAAAGTCCAAAAAGAAGCTTGTAAATCAAAACAAATAATCTAGACACAATTAAATATTGTTTACATTAAAATAAACAATACTATCTTAATCCATTATCTATTATCTTAATCTTCTTATTCTGTAAACAAAGAAACTATAATTTTTGCAATGAAACTATAATATACCATATGTGTTTAATACATATAAAAGTTAGTAGAATTAAATCTTGTTTAAAAAAACGTAATATAAATGAATTAATTAAACATTTATATTTTTTTAGATTTGTTAAAACAAGGATCCTCTACCATTGACTAGAACTCTACCCATAGTTTTATTGAAAATAAATTATATTTGAAGTTTTTTTTAAACTACATACATTAACACATATTCGTACATATAAAATTTTTAAAACCATAATTCCATAACAAAAGGTAATAATCCTTTCCAAAATATTGTTAGTACTTACACACGATCATCACACATTTTCTTGGAATTAGTTTCGAAGATGTGAGAGGATTAGATATACATAAATATAATGTATTTCAATATTTCAATAATACATAAAGGTCAAAGTACTATTCGACGAAGGGTAAAAGGTTATTAAAGGCTTACTATCTGCTTGTAAAAAAGTATTAGGATTAGTATTGAGACTGGCTTAGATCTTTTGATTTCGAATCAATAATCAATAGCTCGAAGAAATAGCTCGCCCATTTTCGGGTTTAATTTTAAAATAAAATACAAAGCCATATTTTGATAATGAATTTTCTTTTAGAAGTAGATAAACCATTAATTGACTTTCCAGACATGATTTTTTTAAGGATTTATGCTCATATGAATTAAAATTATGAATGAATTAAAATTTTTAAGTTAAATTTTAATTAAATTATAACACATATTTACTATAATAGTATTACGTCATTATTTTATAAAGTATATACAGTCAGCCCCGCTTAGCTTTATTGGGTATGGTATTTTGTGCCGTGTAAGCATTGTAACTGTTGAAAATTTATATTGGATTCATTCGAGAGTTTCGATTGTAATTTAAACTGTCAAAAAATTTTAAACTGACACCTGAAATTAAAAAGCAATTATATCGGTGTGAATCGTATCATTATAATTTGTTTGTTAGATTTATTACATGTCCTCACCTTTTAACTACTTTCACAAAATTTTTATTTGAACGTATGATAAATAACAGTGTTGTTTCAATTTGTATGAAGATTTTATTCATTTCTCAAAACTATTTACAATAGCATAAGTTTGTACTACATAATATTATACTATCCAAGTTAAAAGCAACTTGATTTTGCAGAAATTACGAATCAATTCTGTTTTCAGCTGTCAAAATTCCCATACAAATCTTCTTAATTTGAACTTGTTTTGCTATCAAAATCAACAATATTTTAAAATGACATCTAAAATTACAATCAAAACTCTCGTATGAATCCAGTATTAGTTACTTACTTACTTAGTTGACCATTTCAGACGTGGGTCTCCCTTAGCCGCGTCGAGTAGCCTCCGCCAGTCAGTCCGATTAGTTGGTTTCTGATGCCAGTTGGTATTATCGAGCGCCCCCACATCGTTGGTCATCTGGTCCTTCCACCGAAGATGCGGACGTCCTCTACCGCTTTTTCCACCTGCGAGTACCGAAATAAATAGCTTTCTAGCCGGAGCACTTTCTTCCATTCCAATTTTTATGCGCTTAACTATGTCAATGTCGCGGTATAGTTCATACAGCTCATCGTTCCATCTAATTCGATACTCGTCGCCAACGCGTAAGGGACCACAGATCTTCTGAAGAATTTTTCTCCCGAATGCTCCTAACGCCTTCTCATCACTGTTGGTAATTGTCCAAGCTTCTGCACCATACAGCAGGACAGGCATGATAAAAGAATTGTTGAGCGTGATTTTTGTTTGTCGAGGGAGGGCTTTATTTCTCAATTGCTTACTTAGCCCGAAGTAATATTTGTTGGCAAGAGTGATTCTTCGTTGAACCTGTAGGCTGACGTCATTTTTGGTGTTTAAGCTGGTTCCTAAATAAACTAAGTCTTTCACAACTTGAAACATAATTGTCAACAGTAACGTAGGTCCCAAGACGCTCAGGAGATTTGTTTGTTGACAGAAAGTACTTTGTTTTGTTCTCATTTACCACAAGACCCATTTGCTTTGCTTGTTTTTCTAACATGGAAAATGCCGCACTGACGACGCGGGTGTTCAGACCAATGATATCAATATCGTCGGCATACGCAAGCAGCATTACACTTTTGTAGAATATTGTGCCGTACGGTTTAAATTTGCTGCTCGAATTATCGTTTCCAACATTAGGTTAAAGTAGTCAGACGGCAAGGAGTCACCCTGTCTGAAACCTCGTTTAGTATCAAACGGCTCGGAGAGGTTCTTTTCAATTCTAACGAAGCTGGTGGTGTTGCTTAGCGTCATTTTACATAGTCGTATAAGTTTTGCTGGAAGTTTTGAAGCCGACAAATAGGTGGTGTGTGTCTATGAAATCTTGTGTTTTGCTAAAAACAAATAGTTCTCGTCTTCATTTTTTGATAAAGAGAAGAATAAACAGTCTTTTAATTGTGTATTACTGGGAGTAATAACAGTTTATTTTACTTACTCCCATCATTTATGTGTTAAGATAACCTCATTGTTGTATTTAATGCGTTTAATTCGAGGGTATTTGCCTCGTTAATCGGGTTCTTACTGTACAAAAACTTGATATTGTTGAATGTATTTTTTATTTTAAAAGCGAAAATATTTTTTTATTTATTTCTTTAATAATAAAATGTTTATTTTCTTGAAATTCAAACGAATTGAACAAATATTTTAAAATTGATTGATTGATGATGATACCTACTTCCTTCCGTTTGTCTTAGAATTCAGAATACAGAATACAGAATATTAACAACTGGAACTTATTGTATTTATAAATTAATCTAACAGAGTTTTTTAATTCTAATGAATCTAAATCAATTTGAGCAAATTGCTGAAGGGATTTTGTCCGATTTAGGCACTTGCGAGCCAAATTTCAATGAAATTCAGTTTCCGAACAGTTTTTGTGATAAGCAACTGTCAGCAGCTTTTCAGCATTAATCAGCGCTCGAGTGTTTGGTGACTGGAAGTGGACACGCTTAGCGCTGACAATTGACAGTTAAAAATTGAATTTAATTTTTGTGTTTTCATGTTGCAGCGCAAAAATGCTACATTTTAAGTGTAGAAATTAAGAAAATTTTCTAACTCACAGCATCACTAAATCCGAAGTAACAAACTCAGCACAAACTGAAGCGCAACAAAATTAAATAAAAAGTGTGTCCACATCAATTTTGCTCGGATGTCAACAAGATGGCAGCGCTTCACATCATTTCTGCTAGCATCAATCACTGTCAGTTCAGATTTCGTTAGGCGACAGGAAGGGACCTAAAGGGTAAATTATAGAAAATTGAAATTTTTAGGGCAAATATTCAAAAAAACCGAATATTTTAGATGTTAATGGGTGCATTAACGCCAAATTGTGGGAAAAATAAGCGAATTTATTTATTATTTATTTTTTTGCAATTTTGGAATTCCCCTTGAGGTCTGCTCTTTCACTTGGTCGATACACTTTTCGTCAGCCGCTTTACCCATATGTCGATTTCATATCAACCTTTAATTAAATTTTTTTACCTTTTCTCTGCAGATTATTTTTAAATGCTTTAATTAAATATTTACAAATTACCGAATTAAATCAATTATATAATTAAGTATTTAAAAATAATTACAGATGATATGTTTCAATAAATTAAAATAAATATATATTTTAATGAATAATTTTTCGAAAAGAAAATATAAATTCAAAGCTTTTGACATGATATTTTCTTTAGAAGTGTAGAAATGTAGAATTGTAGAAATTGAAAAAAAAATAGGCTTCAGTTTCAGCAATTACTTTTTCATTTCAGATGAGTTTCTTACCGGCGAGCATTATTTTGAGATCAGCAAATAGCCAGTAGTCGCTGGCGGCCAGATCTGGATGAGGAAGCAATTCAAAGAGTAAATCGTGCAATTTTGTCATCGTTTTTATTGATTTGTGACATGGTGCATTGTCTTGGTGAAACAAAATTTTTTTCTTCACCATATGCAGCCATTTCTTTGCCATATGAACATTAACCGTCATAGCCTAATATTTAGACCTTAAGAGGTTAATAAAAAAAATACTAGCGTTTCCCAAGCGGAAATGTAGGCAATATTTAAGAGCGTACCTTTCAATATTCAATAATTAAATGCAATATCGCAATACTGACAGACAGCCAAGCGGCTATCAAGGCACTGAACTCTCATCAGGTGACTTCAAGACTGGTGCAAGAATGTCTTGAAAAGCGAAACCTGGTCGGCGAATCAAATCAGGTGTCGATTCTCTGAGCACCGGGACATACTCACGTACACGTAAACGAATACGCAAATAAGCTAGTCAGAAAAGGAGCAGCTACAAGGCCGGAATCTTTCTGTGGAAAAGCACACAGTACCCTTCTTTCTTTCATAAAAATGAAGGAGAATCAGAACAAAATGATTGCTAAGATAATTTGACAGGATTAACATAATCCAGATCATTTATTGGTACCATAACAATAGGAGATACTAGGATTGTATGGACTTATCAAAAGAACAAATTAGAATCATCACAGGTATCATAAGAGGGCACTGTAAACTAAAATACCACCTTACGTGACTGGGCATATATACGGATGCAAACTGTAGATTTTGCGAAGAGAATGAAGTCAGTCATACATGTGCTATTAGAATATCCTGTGCTCATGCACATACGGAATAGATTTCTGGAAGTGTATACCATTACAGAATAGGTAATTAAACTCTGTAAAGTAGGTACTATACTAATTTTTATCGAAGCAATGGGTATTAAAGAAATACTCTAAACCCAGAAAGGGATAGAATAGACCTAACGGTCGTAGTGCCACATTGTATATCAATAATAATAATAATAATTATATTAGTTAGGGGTTAAGAAATTCCTTATTGTAAATTGTTAATATATTGGTGGTAGTGTTAATGCTAGTGATGAAGCCTTGCAACGTACTAGAAAATGTTATATCATAAAAGAAAGAATATTAGTCAGTTGTTGACATTAACTCTCTCTGATTATTAGTGGCTTATAACCGACTTTGTCATAAAAATGAACTCTTTCGGAGGTTTATGATTAGGTGTAGACATAGACATTTGCAATGATCATAAGAAAGTTATATCTTTTTGTTCCCAACAATATGGGTCATGGCAACATTTGATTCCTTAGAACCAATATTTTTTGGTTTTTATTTTGTTTCAATAATTTGTTCTTTTTCATACTTAAAGAAAAAAATTTGAGAGATTTCCCATAAAAAAATGCGATTTTCCGAAAAGAAGAAGAGTACTCTGATATTTATATTATCATGTATGCATGTATTATGTATGCACGTATTTTGTGTACTTGGAATTGAAAGTAAAAAAATTGCGATATTTTTACATGATGTACTTTAATAAAATTTATTCAAAGGTTGAATTCTTACAACTTAAGTAATAAAATATTATATAATTGAAGTATATAAAGTAGAATAAAAGTACTTGAAAAAATGCTTTGGCTGCAACATTTTTTGTTCTTAACGAAATTTATAAAAAGCAGAGAATGCAGCCAAAGGCCAGTTTCAGTTCATTTCTAGTCGCAAAGAGTTGCAATACTCGTAAGAAGAAGAATCGTCATTACGTTGGTTTAAATAATAATAAACAGAAAAATATACAATAGTTTTACAAAAAATATAAACAAATAAAAATAATAAAAAATGATAAATAAAGTCACAGCCTTTGCATTAATCACTCAACTATTGTGTGAGTATTTCTTTTAAAAATATCTTTTTCATTTAATTAACTTTCAAAAAACTGTTGTCGGTTTATCGCTATGCAGTGTACAGTTTGGTAAGCGCGGCGCCCTACCCACAAAACGACATCGATAGCTCCTTTGCCGGTAACACGGGAGCGATGGACTACAACACTGTCGTTGGCCACTTCAAAGATTTTTTTATGTATCTTCCTGTTATGATGACTACACTCAAAGAGACTATGACAGGATTTCCAAAATTCGCGGAAGGCATACGAATACTGACATCGAAGAACGGTCGCACCGAGGACGACTGTAATTGCAAACGGAGTAGCAACGAAATTGAAAATAGTAGTCGATATGGTTAACTGATGAGCATCGGGAATGTATTTATTATTAATTTTTATTGTGATTAACATATTCTGTATTTTATTAATATTGTAAATAAACCTTTTTATATATCCTATTATTTTTGATTGTGTCATTATGCACCTTCAACCTTCAACAAGTTCCGAAAAGACAATGAGTAAATTTCATGCACATGGCCAACTTCTATGCACTTCTGTGTTCCTTTGATCAAGCAAAATTTATCACATTTCGTGTTAAAGTTTTGTTGCAATGCGTCTTTAATCTGATAAATACATGGGCTCACCTAGGGAAGGCACACCAAGTGTGAAATTATTTCAAAGGATGCCATGCCAACGATGGCTTGAATGTTTGTAGTTATCGATAAGGTCTATGCAGTTGCTAACGTCGTTTTTGTATGGGCGGCTATTCATGCCAGTTTTTCACTCTACTTTTGGTGCTTTGAGCTCTTAGGCACATTTGGTTGATTAGTCAATTAAACTTTATTATTTTATCATGCAAATTAATTGGCTTATAAATGAAACTGTGAAACTAAGCATTTTCCAGTTTGTGGATATCGAATAAAGTAAATTTAATCATTGATTGTAAATGCACAAATATGATTTACCTGTAGAAACATTTGAACAGAAATAAATAAATTTGGTCTTTAATAATAGAAGATTAAAGAATTAATGTTATTATTCAGATTAGCATGAATACATTGAGACGAGAAAGGATTATAGTGCGGTGGTGCCATATATATACATCATTAAATTTATATAATTATAATTAATTGCCTTCTACATGGTTGACTAAATCAGACATAATGGCAGAAAAGTACATACAAGTATTTAAATAAATACTAAAATTTCTAAAAATCTTTAATAAAATTAAATGTCCGATAATTAAGACCTAATTAACTAGTAGAAGTAAGTTAATTTTATAGTTTTCTTTTAATCAGCTAAATAACCAAGTAATCTAACTAAAACTGTCTAGAGTTTTTTATTTAACAAATCGACTAAAAAATCCCGAGATTAACTTATAAAAATATATATATAATATTATAATAACATTATTATGTTATAATTATAATTTATGATTATTATAAAATTATAATAATTTACAATTTATTTATATTTATTTTAAAATTTTATATTATTTTGAAAAAATTGGACATTATTTATTTCTTTAAAAAGCAATACAACCATTTCAGTTCTCTCTAACATTTCAATATCTTTCTTATGGAGAAATTTATCTCTTGTCTCACAATAGGAGTCTGTTTCGGAGTTGCATTTATTATTGAACAAATAACTATTTCCATGAAATATCTTCTAAGGTCTGCAAACAGTCAGTAACTAAAGTAGTCGCTTGAAGCCAAATCTGGCGAAGACTACATAAGTAGTGTTATCAGATTACATCATACGTATCATAACATATATAATTATAATATACAAATGTTATATGTCAATCTCTTTTGTTGTTTGTGTCGATACGTTAATCACAAAACGTAATCGTTAGCAGCTATTAGCCTCTAATTATAATATACATGAAGAGTTATACGAGCTCAATTGATAAAATTTTAAAAAAGTTTCGCGTTAATCAAGTTTATTAAATCTTGGATCTGTGAGTGTACTCAGTTTTGGCTTGAGTGATATATCTCGTGTCTCTAATTATAATATACATGAAGAGTTATACGAGCTCAATTGATAAAATTACAAAAAAGTTTCGCGTTAATCAAGTTTATTAAATCTTGGATCTGTGAGTGTATTTGGTTTTGGCTTGAGAGATATATCTCGTGTCTCTAACATCATTCTTGTGCCTGCTCGTTCCATTGTGATGAATTTTATTAGTTATAATTGAACTGTTTTCAAAAAACTGAGTCCTGAGAAAATTTCATTAGACAACCAGGATCGCATCAATTCCAAATCCGAATTAATGTGATGTGTCATTACTGATGATTAAAAAATTGGGCAACGAGTTCGATGCACGATCAAGATAACAGTTGCCAAAATGAAAAAGACCGGAAAACTATTAGAACCAGAAAAGTACATCAAAGTCGCTGAATAAGCAATATAGTTCTATGAAGAACTGGACGAATTACAGCGCTTGCTTGGAAAAAATGGATTGCTCAAATACGATGCATTTTTAGAAGAACAATTTGTTGATTTTAGGTGATAGTAATATGTTACTGTAGAGAGTGATATATGAATTGTATTTAAAGCCAATCTGCATTAATGTCAGTTTCTGTTTTTTAACCGAATCTGTTTTATTTAATTAAAGAAGTAAAATTTATAAAAGCCATTTGAGTTTATATTGAAAATCTATTACAAAAAGTGTTTTTAGGCTGATAAAATATTGGATAAATATTTTACGCTACAATTAATTTAATGAACATTTTTTTATTCTAATACTTTCCTTTATTTTTTTAAAAAAATACGAAATACGAAAAAAGCATTAAGATACCTAGAACTGAACTTGGATTCTAAGGTATCACTCTGGGCATAAATCCAAAATGCGGAATGCAAGACAGCACAGGCTATCGCATCATTGAGTAGACGAATCGCAAACGTTGACGGTCTAACGCAGAACAAGCAAAAATTGCTAATGTCAACAACTAACTTTATCCTACTGTATGAAAGCGAAATATGGGTTGAACACGACATCTTCAAATGCAATAGACAGAACACTGAAAGAACATCTCACAACGAAGATGATGCTATCTGAAGAAAACTGGACCGCCATAGATTCATTCGTTGCGATCATCGCCAAACGGAAAAAATATGACCTCGAAAATGACTAATTTCGAAAAAGAGGTATACAAATAAACTTAAGCTAGGTCTAGATGTAGACTAACGAAGAAAATTTTTAATGGGTAACTATCACAGGGACTCTAACTTGAGGTATTCCCGATAAAGTACCGGAGTAGAAACGGTGTAAAACACATGGGGGATTGATTTAAGTCCTTGCCAATCTATTGTGGTAGCATAGTGACGATGCGTTAGATATTTTTAAACATCTTCTCCACACAAAAAAAAAAAATTAAAAAATTTATGAAATGTATCATTGAACTTTTTGTTCCATCTATTGTATGTTTATATTCTATTAGTCTTTTGAAAATAATTTCAATATTTTGTCTTTATATTACCAAGTATATTCGTAGTGGAAACTGTTCATCTACACTATTTCTTCGATAATTGCAATTCTTGGATAATTAGCCAGTGCTAGCAGTTTTTGGCCATTCAAAATAGACTTGCTGTTAAGAACTTAATAGTTTAAGGAACTTAATAGTTTAATAATAGTTTAGATTTAATACTAATAAAATTGCTTATTACTTTTTAAATACAAAAAAGCGATCATAGCGAGATACATTTTTCCATTTGCACAAACTCTTGAGGTTGGTCAATGAAAAAAATTATTAAAAATCATTCGGAAAACAGCGGATTTTTTTTCCAGAATTGTTTTTAAAATTATTATAGTCAGACGCAAAACTTTTATGACACCCTACGTATTATCTGTATTCACTATTTGATTCGCAGAAAACTGATGTAATTTTATTTTGAAAAAGTTTTAATAATTGATTTACACATCTCTAGAAGATAATATCTTGTTTGAACAATTTAATTAATTAAATTTAAAAAAAAGTTTTGGTTAGCATTATTTATTTGAGTTTGTGGTGTGGAAAAGAGGTAATATTTCTTATGAACCTCTCTTTTAATGAATTCATTGATTTCGTGCTAAATTTTCTGAATAAATTTCAAAACGAAGCTCAGGTCAAGATTATATCGCATATTGTGCTTCCAACATTTGCATGCTCTGTCCTCCAATGTTATGTCTTCATCTGAAATGTTGTTGTTGGATTTGTAGGCATGTTTTCATTAAAGTATTTATGTTTGGATTCAAATACAGTAGTTTTTCAGTTACATAGGTACTTAGATTTGTCAGATAAGTTCTGGTCATTTATTATTTGTATTTCTCTTAATTAAATAATAAGAAATACTTCAGCATTGTCGGATTATTTCTATGACAAGATAAAATTAAAGTTTTTATTAAAAAAAAATTGTTTATGTAAATTTATAGAAATAAATTATATATAAAAGCTTATATTACATATTAAGACAACTCTCCTCAAATATTTCTGTATTTCTCAAAATATGAATTCTGTCAAAACAAAGCTTCATATTTAAAATCTAAGTGGGCATTATTGAAAAAAATAATAATTTTTGTTTTGAGGGTACATCATTGGATTTATCAGTCAAAATTATTTATATATTCTATGCACTTAATTTAGATTTATTTGTTTGTGTTTCTCTTTTGAAACAATAAATTCCAGTGCCTTCTGTGAGAATATAAATTGTACTTGTCATAGGAACCTTACATTTAGATACTTACTATTTCCAGTATAAGATATTCAATTTTTATTTTATTTAAACCCAGGAAATGTCGTATACAAGTGGGTTTAAAATGCCACTGACATATTCTAACCATTTTTTACTACACATTATGGATTTTTCTCAATTAAATGTTTTTATATAAAATTTAAATTAGTCTCCAAGAGCCTGCCCTTAAATTAGTATCTGTACACCCCAATGAATCCAAAGCATTTTCAAATTTCGATTTTAGAACACATGTACTCATTATGGATATATAATTTCAATGAATACTTTATTACAATTAGAATGTCATTACTATATTTATCGTTTTCTGCTTTTTCAACGTTATTTGTTAAATTAACTACCAGCTATAAAAGATGGGATTAAAAGGTACTGATATCTTAGACTACAGTGAAACACACACTTATTTTCTCTGTTCATACCCTGTGATTTTTATGAAACGATTAATTTCTACTAAATTAAAAAAGCCAGCTTTCATTGAACTTAAATTATATTGAATTCATTCTATAAAAATTTCGGTTTTATTGTTTTTTTTTGAGTTTACATCGTATGGGCTGGAAATAAATATTAGGTGTTGATATTAGTGTTTTTTTTATATTTTTTCTGGTACGCACCACTAAAGTTTTAAAAATTACTATTC